TAGACACAGCCTTGGTGTCTTGAGTGCTGCTTAATAGAGAAGATCTTTAGCATTTTTTGGTAATTAGGTAAAGCTTCCAAAAAGTACTTAAGGGCTTGTTCCTGCCTCTTCTGAAATCCATGGAATTTTGCCATTTACTTTAATAGGAGCAGGACCAATTTCTGCCATGGGACCTAATTCTGCAGAGACTTAAGCATACTGGTAACTGTGCATACAAGTAGTCCCGAGAGAGGGGGAGCTGGGGGGGGAAGGAGAGCTATTTCTACACTAGGGATGTTAAATTTCATTTAATCAACTAATGGACTAGTCAGTAAGTGAGAGAGCCACAATGGGGTTCTCAGAGCCAGAAGCTAACCCCGCTGTGGCGCTGCCTTTTAAATGTATTGAGAGTTTGCCAGCTCTTAATGCATTTAAAAGGCTGGTGCATAGTGTGTGTGGAGGGGGCGGTGGAGGGGAGAGGGAGAACCTGGTGCGAGCCAGGCCAGCTGATTCCTGGCTCACGCCAGGTCCCCCCTGCTGCACTTCTGCTTTTTAAACATATTAATAGCTGGCAGGCTCTTAATACGTTTAAAAAGCAGAGGCACGGCTTCTCTGGGCACAAGTCGGGAATCAGCTGATTCCAAGCTTGCACCTTGTCCCCGCTACCCTACTGCCTCCCGCAGAGATGGTGCTATGGGAACTGGCTTTTAAGCTGGCTTCCCCTAGCACTGGCTCCTGCTCCCCCCTTTGCTGCCTCTGATAGAGTCAGCAAGAGGAGAGGGAAGCAACTAGTTGAAGGACTAGTCTACTATACAATAAGCTTTGGCATATCAGATAGTCAACTAGTCGCTTACGTCCCTAATCTACACTGCAATTTAAAAACAACTATGATTGGCCCATGTCAGTTGACTCAGGCTACTGGACTGTTTAACTGCAGTGTTGATGCTTAGGCTAGAGTCTGGGCTCTGGGACCATGGCAGGTCGAAGGATCCCAAAGCTACAACCTGAGCCTGACCATCCACATTGCAATTAAAACTAACAAACAGCCCTGTAGCCTGAGCCCCCACATGCTTGAATTGGCTGATTCAGGGCAGTTGCAGGTATTTAATTGCAGTGTAGATATACCCCTGAAGTCAATTGGACTGCTCATATGCATGAAGTCACTCATATGCTTTAATCTTTGCAGGGCTGAGACCCTACACTCTGATTCTGTAATGAGTTCTTTGTAGCTTGGATTGCAGCCTTAGGGCCCAGCTCAGGAAGATACTTATGTGCCTAACTTTAAGCATGTATGTAGTAGGGATGTAAGCGACTATCTGATAAGTATATGCTTAACGGGTAGTCGAGTAGTGACTCTACTAGTCGCTTCCCCCTACTTGTTCCCTCTGTCAGAGAGGCAGCAAAGGTTGGGGGGAGCAAGAGCTGGTGCTGGGAGAGCTGGCTTAAAAGCAGGTTCCCCCAGCACCATCTCTTTGGGAGGGCAAGGGAGGCAGAGGCTGGAGGTGGAGGGAGGGGGAAAGAGACCAGGTGCGACCCAGGAATTAGCTCTCCCGGCTCACACCTGGTCCTAGACTCTGTGCCTCTGCTTTTTAGAAGTATTAAGAGCCACTAGGCTCTTAATACATTTAGAAAGGTAGAGCTTCAGTAGGGTTAGCTCCCTAAGTCTGGGAGCTAACCCTGCTGCGGCTCTGCAGTCCCCCCCCCATCGACTAATCGAGTAGTAAATGAAAATTCCATCAACTACTCAATTAGCTGTTTAAACACAATTTAACATCCCTATTATGTAGTCCCATTAAAGTCCGGTGTGTGTTTAGGTATCTTCCTGAATTGGGGCTTTAATCAGGCCTTGTCTATACTGGCACATTTTGTTGCCAAAAAATGTCTTTGAGACAAAACAGAGTGTTTACACTGCAGTGTGACTTATCGAAAAAACACCCAGTTTCAGTGAAAAAAAACTTCCACCCCACAAGAACATTTTTTTTCTTCCTCTTTATTGTCAACAAAGAGCCATTATAGACTGCTATTTGTTTGTAGCAAGGTTAGTTTTTCATAGTGCCTGCCTTGGTGTCTGTGTTCAGAGTTTTGTGATCTTTGCTGCCTTGCAGGGATGCACTCCTCCCATGTCAAAACTCCAGGAAGTGTCTGACAGCTGAGTAACCTGCTCCATTTGGGGAACAAACAATAAATAATTAGAATACTCCTGTTCTGCCCTGCTAGGAACATAGAGGCAGGTAGGCCGCTGCTACAGGGGGAGGGCTGGAGAGACTGCTGTGCTGCTTTGACATTCCTTAGCACAGAGAGCTCACAGAGCTACAAGGGAATCCCAAGAAGAACAGGGATCAGCTCTGTTTCCCCACAACACTGCACTGTGTGATGCTTACCCATATTACCAATACCCTGTCATCAGAGCAAAGCAACGTGGCCATGAAATGCCGACAATGGGAGGTTTAAAAACTGGTTTGACCGGTTTTGATGTTTGGCAACTTTTGCGTGTCATTAGCACTTCTGTCCCAAACCTTTGCAGTGTAGACAGAGCATCAGTTGGAGTGATTTGTGTGTGAAGGAAGCTCCCTGTAGTAGGTGCTGCAAACGTAACAGGAGGGCATCCTGATGTATGTAGCCTATTTCTAGAATATTCTGTTGCAGTTCGGAATTTCATACTGTTTCAATTTCAGCTAACTGAAAGCTACTGAATATACTCGTTTATTTAAGTCTTCTGAAAATTGTCCATGGTTCTTTGTCTCTGCCTTGCAATGTAGAAATACTTATGTTCTGAAAGAATAGCTAAATATTTAAAACAGTATTTGTAACTAAAATGAAAGATATTCCCCATGACAACACATTTGAACACAGAATGTTAAGGCTTTTCCTTTAATTTCCTTTAGAATAAAGTATGTCTCAACCAAGAAGAATCCCCAGGCATTTTGTTCTCTCTCGTAACCAAAGTGGAGCAGCAGTACCAAATGAGGAAAGCCACAGTAGACTCTTAACGCTTCCAGACACCATAGAGCAAATGGAGTTGAATATCAGGTATCATATTGTACTAATTCTCCCCACACAGACCTCCTCCCCCCATCAAGAATATTTATTGAGCTAAATAATTAGTGAAAATTCATGATACACAAAATAAACATGGTTGTAGGTGACCTGTAGACCTGTTATGCATTAGACGATTTCACCTTTCATGTTCAGCATGAAGTCACAGATGTGGCTATTCATTAGGAGCCCAGCTGTTGTAATAAGCAGCTGAGGAAGCCATGTTTTTACAGTTTCCTAGCCACCTCTTGTGAGTGGAGATTTGGGGGAAGAGACTTGGCTTTTGTTAATGGCTTCTGAGATATATTTTGTTTCTAGGGGTCGTAATCTGTCTTCTGTGCTTGTGAATATTTTTCTATGTTGTTTGAGAAATAAAACAAACATTCTCCTCCAAAAAGGAATTGTAAACTGAACACGTGTGTCAGTGGCAAACATCTACCTGCTTTCCTGCCATGGATTTATCCTTCTTGCCTTTGAAACCCTGTTTCAAGTTTTCCTGAGATTTTTTCCATAAATCTTCCAGTGCAAGACTCCATAATACAGTAGATATTTGCATACCCCAACTACTGAATATATACCATTAGCAGAGGGATATAAAAAACAATTTCCCCCCAATTTCTGTGATCCAGTATTTTACAAGTTTCCTGACAAATTATTTTAATGTCCATTTAGGAATATGCAGTATTTTCAGATGTTTTGTAGCATAAGGGTAGCATAATTTATTTGCTAGACTGCACTTGCTTTCCAGAAGCTAGCATTGGCAGAACTGTCCACAGATAATAACAGTATCAGTAATAGACTAAGACATCACTCATCAAAATGCTGCACAGAGTAAGAATCTGTACTATAACTTGTTTTGAAGATTACTTAATTCTGATAGATCACCAAAGGAAATTGATTTGAGCCCACGGTCTACAAAGAGGTCTGTTCAGCCCCAGCAATTGTCTCTGGAAGTTGGCAGTAAGACATTTACACTGTCATGACTGGTAATTTAAAAGGTCAAGAGAGGCAGCCTTTTAAATTACAAAGGGTGTGATTTTCAAATGTGCCTAAATGATTTAGGACTTCAACCTGGGTTCCTAAGTCATTTTTAGGCACTTTTGAAATTCCTACTTCAAATCCCAAACCATCACGCTTTGCACTTAGTTACTCCTTTATATAACAGATATTCAGGATGCTTTATAAAGACTGATTAACAAGATACACAGTCAATCATGGATGTGTATCCAAGGACAGGATTTCATCATATGTATATGCACTTAGAGCATGGGTTGTTGTTTTTTTTAAATTAAAAAAATGTATGATTACAAGTAGGCTCCTAGCTCTATATTTACTGGGAGTTAGCTGAAATACTTCAAATGAAAATTTATCCTGTCCAAGAAGCACCATTTTCTGACACCATTTTTTTTTCCATGACAAAAGTTAAAACTTAACTTAGTCTGAAACTTTGACATGGCAAACTTGCCATGTTGGAGTTTTCTGATCTCTGGTCCAGAAAAAAGTTTAACTTTTTCAACTTTTCATTCCTATTCAAGAAATGTTGAGATCACAATTTCCCAGGGGACAAAAGTTCTGTTTTTTCTAACACCCTCTGATAGTTCTACCTAAATAAGTGACCTAATTCCAAATGCTGAACACGCAGATAAAATACCTGGTTTTCTTAGGTACCCAATGGGATTTAGGGGCCCAATTCTGGATATACATTTAAAAAAATTCTTGGGGATAAATATTTGTGTCCTACTTGTATGCTTTGTTAGTGAAGTAATTATAAAGTAAGTTGTTTGATAATCAGCACTTGTTTGTAATGTTTTACATCTTGAGTGCTTTTTGACGTATCATAACTGTTTTCCTTTTTGACAAATGTGCTGACTACTTCTTACAGCTCTGCCACCCAAGTTGGCCATCATCTGGCAGTCATTGGGGATGAATTCAACAGCACATACACGAGGAAGTTAGAGGATATGCTGTTTCATCTTGCACGGGGGTAAAACATGTTGGATATTTTCAGTGTTCAGATTGTCATCTGCGGTACTTGATGAAGTCAGTGCGCTGTAATGAGTCATTTTTCTATTGAACCACTAAATTTAAAAATTACCTGTTATTTACTACTGTTAATGTACATAGAATGTCTTAAAAGGAATTGTCCTGGATGTTTCTACTTCTGGTATATTTTTGGGGAGAAGGAAGAGTGGGGGGGTAAGGGAGAAATAAAGAGTTTAATGATACCTAATGATTTCTTTGCTTCAGTCTTCACGGCTGAGGACGTTGGGGAGATTCCCGAATCTGCACCGTCCTTGGTGGGTGATGAATCTGAGGAACTGTCCCGGGTTGAAGTGTCATTAGAGGAGGTTTTGGAACAAATAGAAAAACTTAATGTTAACAAATCTCCGGGACCGGATGGCATTCATCCAAGAGTTCTAAAAGAACTCAAATGGAAAATTGCGGAGCTATTATCTGTAGTTTGTAACCTATCCTTTAAATCGGCTTCCGTACCTAATGCCTGGAAGGTAGCCAACGTGACACCAATATTTAAAAAGGGCTCTAGAGGCGATCCTGGCAATTACAGACCGGTAAGTCTAACTTTAGTACCGGGCAAATTAGTCGAAACAATAGTAAAGAATAAAATTGTGAAGCATGTAGAAGAACATAATTTGTTGGACAAAAGTCAACATGGTTTCTGTAAAGGGAAATCTTGTTTTACTAATCTATTAGAGTTCTTTGAAGGGGTTAACAAGCATGCGGATAAGGGGGATCCAGTAGATATAGTATACTTGGATTTTCAGAAAGCCTTTGACAAGGTCCCTCACCAAAGGCTCTTGTGTAAATTACATGGCCATGGGATAAGAGGAAAGGTCCTTTCTTGGATTGAGAACTGGTTAAAAGACAGGAAACAAAGGATAGGAATAAATGGTAAATTTTCAGATTGGAGAGGGGTAACTAGTGGTGTCCCCCAAGGGTCAGACCTGGGACCACTCCTTTTCAACTTATTCATAAACGATCTGGAGAAAGGGGTAAGCAGTGAGGTAGTAAAGTTTGTAGATGATACAAAACTGTTTAGGATAGTCAAGACAGAAGCAGACTGTGAGGGACTCCAAAATGATCTCACCAAACTCAGTGATTGGGCAGCAAAATGGCAAATTAAATTTAATGTGGGTAAGTGTAAAGTAATGCACATTGGGAAAAATAACCCCAACTATACGTACAGTATGATGGGGGGCTAATCTGGCTACCACAAATCAGGAAAGGGATCTTGGAGTTATCGTGGACAGTTCTCTGAAAACTTCCACGCAGTGTGCAGCGGCGGTCAAAAAGGCAAATAGGATGCTAGGAATTATTAGGAAAGGGATAGAAAATAAGACCCAGAATATCTTACTGCCCCTGTATAAAACTATGGTACGCCCACATCTGGAATACTGTGTACAGATGTGGTCTCCTCACCTCAAAAAAGATATTTTGGCCTTGGAAAGGGTTCAGAAAAGGGCAACTAAAATGATTAGGGGTTTGGAATGGGTCCCATATGAGGAGAGGTTAAAGCAACTGGGACTTTTCAATTTAGAAAAAAGGAGACTGAGGGGGGATATGATAGAGGTCTATAAAATCATGAGTGGTGTGGAGAGGGCCGATAAAGAAAAATTATTTATTAGTTCCCTAAATAGAAGAACTAGAGGTCACCAAATGAAATTAATGGGTAGCAGGTTTAAAACGAATAAAAGAAAGTTCTTCTTCACACAGCGTGTAGTCAACCTGTGGAACTCCTTGCCAGAGGAGGCTGTGAAGACTAGGACTATAATAGAGTTTAAAGAGAAGCTAGATAATTTCATGGAGGTTAGGTCCATAAAAGGCTATTAGCCAGGGGATAAAATGGTGTCCTTGGCCTCTGATGGTCAGAGGCTGGAGAGAGATGGCAGGAGACAAATCGCTTGATCATTGTCTTCGGTCCACCCTCTCTGGGGCACCTGGTGTTGGCCACTGTCGGTAGACAGGATACTGGGCTAGAAGGACCTTTGGTCTGACCCAGTACGGCCGTTCTTATGTTCTTATGTAATAGCCTGTGTTTCCCTTGACTGAAGCTATGTGAATGCCACAATTAAAACAAAGTATTTAATTGTTTTTTAAAAATGGGTACCACATGGCAAGAGGGTCTTTAACCATACTGCTGAGCAGGAAGAGGTGTATAAATGCATCACCCCAATACATTTATACTTCAGGCACCCCTCAGATACAATTCAGGAAAGTAATTGCAGCCCTTGAAAGCATGTAGCTGACTTACTCTCCTCTCCCATAGCTGGATGGGTACTCAGCAGCTAGAGGGCACTTGACTATATCCACAAAATAGGGCCTGCACTTCACACCAAACCTGGAACCAAGATCCAGACAGGTCTGACTTGACCATGAAGCTAGCCTGATTACCCATTTAATAGAAGAGCACAACCCAGTCCTAGATTGCTGCCCTGGGACAAGGTTCATTGGGAGTCAAGAGTAAATTGTTAAAATTGCTCAGCTATATGTTTTAAGGAGTAAGTTTGGTCATGTGGTTAAGAAACTGGATGCTACCCTCCACACCACTGCATACTTCGTTGTGCAACCTTAAGTAAATCCCATTCTTTCTCATCTATAAAATAGAAATGCTTCCTTACCTGGGGAAGGGAGACATGAAAGGATAAATACATTAAGACTGAAGTGGTAAGATACTATAGTGAAGGGGACTAAATAAGCCGATGAAAGAATATATGAAGTACAACAAAATCTATTCTCCCTGTTTCCAGATGATCACGTTTTTGGGGGGTTTTTTGGGTGGAGGTTGTTGGATTTTTTTGGGCGGGGAGTGCACTATTGACTTTCCAAGGTAGAACATTGAGAGGAACTCATCCTTATCCCTTTGCATATTATGTGCAGAACTTCTTTAATTTGCTGAGGGTATTATATAATATACAAGATTGGTCAGTGAGAGGAGGGGAAAAAAGCTTTTAATTTTATGTTCTGTTCACAAGTCTTCCTAATTTTTAGGGAAGTGATGAGGTAGTTTAGATTTATTTAAAAACAAATAATTGTTCCTCCATTCCACTCATTTGTAAATTGAATCTCAATTAGTAGGATAACTCTTATCCCACTCGTTTTGTGTGTTAGCAGGATGGCTGTGAATGTTTTAAAAATACTCCACATGCATGTTTGGGAAAGTTTCAGAAGTCTTTTGAACAATGGTTGGACTAAGAGAACTATTGCCCATGGAAGCTGGGTAAGGTTTGTTTGTTTTTTTACATCCTCCCAACTTTCTGTTTTAGGAAAGTGAGTAGTAACAAAAGCAGCAACTGGAGTTTGACTTTTAGGTCCTGTCTTCTTTGAATGCCTAACTTGTTTAGACATCAGCAAGCTAAGCATGTAATGTGACTGTAGAATTAAGCCTTTTTTTTTTAGCCTGTGTACTTTGTTCAAGCTTTCCCTGAAAATTCCTTTTGATACAGAAAAAAACCCACCCTATGTCCAAGTGCCTTTAGAGCACTGACTAAATCCTGATTCTGCAATTGGATTCGTGAGGGCAGATCCTTGTGCCTGCCTAGAATCCCTTTGACAGCAATCTAGATCCTGTCTGGATTAATTCATTTGGATGAACCAAGGGACTTTTCATTGTAAATGGGTGAAATGATTCCTATTCTGGATGAAAAGTTCAGCTGTTGGTTATATTTGTATATATCTTGGATCCTGAAGAATCCTTAAGTACCTGACAAATTATGGTATACACATTTAATAATCAAAAACTAAAACCCAGGAGGTCCCAATTTTCAGTCCCTTGCTCCAGGTGTTTGTCTACTCTTACTTTCTATTCTGTGTGAATATTACCTTTTCTGTACTACTCATGATTTTTAATTAAGCTTCTGTTTCTTCCCCTTCCCCCTTCATTAACAGATTTCTAGGCTTCTTCTTAAGTCCATGTGCCTGAGGTTGATGCCGGCAGCCCTGTTTGTCATCTTATTTTGGTGGACTGTCAGTTATGGATTGCAGAATTAATATGAAGCATTGCAATAAGAGGTCACTGCTGGACTCTGACCATTGTACTTAACACCCAGGTGGTGGCATTTTAGTTTTGTTTTTTTTTAAGTGTTAATGAAATCCCTATTATATTTAAAACCTAGGCTAGTGCTGGGCCACTGCTGTTTCATACTTTTTTAAAGAAAAATGTTTAAAATAATATGGGGTTGTTGCTGGATAACTGCCTGAACTGCTAGTTTTTAAATATATAAGTCTAGGTGATTAGAGAATTTGTCTCTCTATGCAACAAATTACATAATATTTTTAAAGGTAATGTTGGTTTAGAAGGAATGCTGGTCATCCTTTAACATTTACATTGTTAATCTTACAGCAGAGATGAAAATCTTAAAGATTTTTTAATTAAATGAAAATTGTTGCTTGAAATAAGTTTTTCCAGAGTCATTATTTTACTTCTCAAAATGTGGAAGTGTATAGTAGAAGATAAGACAGCACAGTGTCCTTATAATGACTAACATCTTAATTTGTCATCTAGCTCTAGCATATAAAATGACAGTTATGTAAGCAACTAACTTGTCTGAAGCTCTGCCTCTCTATCCTCAGTCCAGTCATGTCTTGAATAGTCCTTTCCCACTGGGCCTGCAAGGATTCCCTGGTAGGACATGGAACAGAAAAGTTTTATATAGGTCAGAGCCTATAATCTTGATGTGAAATCATTGGTGCTTTAGAAGTCAGTGGCAAAACTCTGAGTTTGCTAAGGGCTAAATTTTACCTGTCTGCTTTGAGGTGTCTTCCCCGCATCACTCCTCCCAAAAATTAAAGGGATTATGAAGAATCAACTCCTAGGAATTTATTTTGAACTATATCCTATTATTTTGAAAGCCACAACTGTTTAGTGAGTACAATTTATGCTAAAACCAGTCCAGTTTAGCAAGTTCCCCCTGTTTTTCCCCTCCCCCATTAAGGCACAGGTGTTATTAAGGAAATTTTACTGAAATGAATAAGGAAAAGGATACTTACGGCCTGGTGGCTGTTCAACCTTTGATCGCTCATATGTTGTTGTGGTTCACTGAAATTCTAAACATCTCTGGCTTTAAAGAATTTACACAGCTGGGGCAGAATAGGAAATTCAATTTGTATCAGGTTTCTAAGCATGCCAACTTTTCTCAGTGTGAGTCCTGAGAATGTAAGTTGTCTAAATGGATCCAGGATCAGTGAAATTCTGGTCGATAACCAAAAAGAATGGAACAACATTTTGTTCAGGAACTACAGGCAGTCCCCGGGTTACGTACAAGATAGGGACTGTAGGTTTGTTCTTAAGTTGAATCTGTATGTAAGTCGGAACTGGTGTCCAGATTCAGCCGCTGTTGAAACTGATCAGTTTCAGCAGCGGCGGGACTTCATGGCACATTCAAACCCTGCTCTGAAGGCAGAATTATGAATTTTCTCTTGGGCGTTGCTAAGATGCTCATCATCATAGTACGAATGCTTTGCAAACACCAGTGTATGTGATATGAGGGGTATTATGTTCCATTTTACAAATGGGGAACTGAGCAATGGAGATTAAGGTCAAGAGTATCCACTAATTTTGGGTGATCACATTGAGACAATTAAGTCAAGATTTTTCCGTGTATTTAGCATTTTATTTCCCTTCTATAAAAGCACAGCTCCTATTAGCATCAGTTGAGAACTCAGCACTTTTGCAGACTGGATTTCACAATCTCAGGTCGTACATCTGGAGGAGCAACACAGTTAATGACCATGTGTGTAATGTCTGGTTTAAGTGACATTACCTAGAATCCAATAGAATCTCTTTGGCAGAGGCAGGTATAGAATCCAGTTCTCCAGGACAGTATCCAACGTGCAGTAATCATGAGATCATCTTTTCTTTCCCCTGCCTCATTCACTTCAGACCTTCTAATTTCTGTAACAAATGAAGCAGAGAACCCATAGACAGCAGTCTGCTTCACTACGCAACCCTGCTTCGTTTCCAGAACAGGTCCATTTTGGACATTTCGTTTCCGATCATGTAATTAAATGGCAGCTTTTCTCGCCCCGGAGAAGGCGGGCGGCAGACCAGGCGTCCCGCCGCTCCAGTCCTCCAGGGCGAGAAAATCCCCGTTCGTAACTGCGGATCCGACATAAGTCGGATCCGCGTAACTCGGGGACTGCCTGTATTTGCTTTATCTATAGTAAGAGGACTGTGCAGTAAATTCCATAAATAAAATATTTTCAAGTAAATATTTAGTGGAAAATTAAAAAATTCCATAGATGGATTGTGCTCTTAGTGTTGTCTATACTAGAAGAGTTCAATCTGCAAATTTGACAGTCTTCTTGGTCAAAACATTCCAGCGGTATACAAGATTGCATTTCTTCCTGCTGGCTCCGCAGAGTTTGTATGGTAGCTACTGTTTGCACACATCAGGGATGCATAGAGGGGAGACTTGTATCGTCTCTTGTGTGAAGACCGCAAGTAGAATGAATTTAAATGGCTTTAAAATTATTGTATTGTTTGCTGCAGTCACAATAAAGGAGAAGCAAGCAGCAGAATTGTTATCAAGTATGAACAATTAAAATTCACAGAAACAAGGAGAATATATCTAGATTCCAAAAGTTACCAGCCAATGGCTATTTTTAAGAAAAGCTTGTTAGCAGCATTTTCAGGGGATTATAAGCTCAAGTCATTTGACTCTCTAGTACACCTTTTTGCAGCCTGCTTGTCCTCTCTCCAGTGCAGAGGAATTACACTGCGTTTGATTCTTGTGCTTTGTGTCTGTGAGGTGGAAGGATTGGAGTATACCAGTGGTCTCCAAACTTTTTAACCACAAGATCACTTTTTCAATTTAAGTACAATGTAAGATCTATCTCAAACGCAAATACCCTTGCCCCCACTTCCTTCCCGCCCCTTTTCAAGGCCCTGCTCTTGCTCCACTCCTTCTCTGAGGCCTCAGCCTGCTCACTCCATTCCCTGTCCTCCCTGAATCTCATTCGCTTTCACCAGGCTGAGGTAGGAGGTTGCAGTGCGGGCTCTGGTCCAAGGAGTTTGGAGTGTGGGTGGGGCTCCGGGCTTAGCCCAGAGCAGGGAATTGAGGTCTGGGAGGAATTTCAGGGTGCAAGCTCTAGGAAAGCATTTGGGTGCAGGGGGACTCATATCTGTGGCAGGGGGGTGGGTGCAGGAAGAAGTTCAGGGCTGGGACAAGGGTTCAGGAAGCAGGCTCTGGCGGGGCATTGTTTAACTGAGATGGCTTCCTGGTGGTGGAGTAGTGGGGTTAAGGCAGGCTTACTCCTGTCCTGGCCCTGTATCATTCCTGAAAGCAGCTGGCATGTACAACAGTGGCTCCATGTGCTGCCCTCATCTATAGGCACTGACCCCACCGCTTCTACAGGCCAGTTCCCCATTACTGATCAATGGGAGCTGCAAGAGTGGTGTCTGCAGGCAAGGACAGCACGTGGAGACCCTCTGCTCTGCCTTTTCAGGGGCTGCAGGGACATGCCAGCCATGTCCAGGAGCAGCAATTGTCACAATGATAATTACTCCAGCCATGACAGGTATTTTAGAACTCACTGCTCAAAGAATTAAATGTAAGTGTAAGAGCCAAATGAAAACTATGAAATGCACAGACCAGTCAAAAACCTAAAATAACCCACTTGGCAAGCAGTAAAAGAAGTAACAACCCCTCATGTATGTATTGGGTCGGGAAGAGAGGGAAGGACAGTGTGTGTTTGTGAGTGACAGAGGCACACACATTGTGTGAAAGTGACAGAGATTTGCATTGCCAAGCTCCCTCCATCCCATTCTCTCTGTTGGAGACAGGGTACAGAAGTGGGGAGAGGAGGGACATGCTGATATCAGCATCTCCCTTCTTCCTCCCACAACCTGCCCAGAAAGTAGGAGGTTCCCTTGGGGGCAGCTCCAAGGCAAAGGGCTGGAGCAGCATGACAGGGTGGAGGGGCAACTGAAGTGCCAGCGGTTGGCCAGAAAGCTATCAAACCAGTCAGGATCACCTGTCAGAGGCTCCAAGATCTACTTTCTAAAAAAAAGTTGAGAAACACTGCTCTAGGCTAAGTCTATACTGCAGCCTTCTTCTGCAAAAACTTATGCAAATGAAGCATGAGGTGGAAGATTGCTGCACTTCATTTGCATAATTAATCAGAGGTCCTTTTTGTGCAAAAGCCTCTTACACAAAAACGACTGCTAATTAATTATGCAAATGAAGCACAGCAATATTCTACTCCACACGTCATTTGCATAAGCTTTTGCAGAAGAAGGTTGCAGTTTAGCCTTAAGCTCGTTAACTGACACAGGCTAACAAAACATAGGCCAGGTAGCCCACAACAGCCTTCTTAAAACATAGCCTGCATAATCGCCACTGCACAGTTCTAAAAATCCTGCTCTTTTCATCAGGACCCCCCCACTCCCTCTCCCAGCCTCACCATACTTCAGTGTCATCCACCACAGGCAGGTTTATCATCCATCTTTTTCTGTTCCTCTGCAAGGACAGCCACCCAGTCCTTACAGCTAGAGGACAACCCTGCTCTTACCAGTGAGAACCCCCTAAAATTTCTATGCTGGATGAGAATCTTTATAGGGAAGCATTCCTTACGCCCCTTGGCCCTTTTAACACTGGGGAGCTGAGTCTAGAAGAATAGTGAAAGATATCCACAGTAAGTTTCCCCCCTACTCCACCCCTACCTTCAGACCTCCCCACTACTTAGCTCTGGCAAAGGGGAAGAAGACAACTCCTCCTCCTCTTGCTGCTGCTACCACTGCCTCCAGCATTGTCCAGCCTTAACCTGGGAGGACACCACCTAAGCAAACTCCTTAATCTCTTTACCTTTCACTGGGATCCACTTCTGTCTCTCACAGCTGTCATCACCTGACTCCCGAGAGCCCCTTTTATAGCCTCTGGATTGCTGCCCTACCCTCTTAATTGGCCCAACTGTAAGCATCTGGACTGTAACAAGAACACTGAGCCCAGCTTCATTTAAGGAGCCACCTATCCTTTTACAACCCTCAACAACTGAATAACCCTATCTTTGTAGGCAATGGGATTTTATCAGGAGAGCTACTGACTTTTAATTACCTTCTGCCTAACAGCTATTAGGGGCCTGGTGCATAGACCAGCCTTCATGGAAGAAAAAAAATGTTATGGACAGTTTTTAAGAGGGACAAGTTCTTCAAGCAAGAAAGTCCATCAAAAGAAATACAAGATAGTGTGGAGGAGCACTGCCTTTCCACAAAAATAGTTACAAAATCTCAAGACCCCTCTGGAGCAGTGCATTGTGGGGGGGGGGGCGAGATTGTGTTCAGGCATTCAGTGCCTTGCATAGCTGCGTAATTCTCTTGTGCCATCTAAAGATGTTAAGTGTCAAGTAAATGACTAATAATGTACATGATATAACTTGTATCCCGTATATACCTAGTCGCTAAGGGGCCACTGCGGCTCTGCAGTTTAAATGTAGTAGGAGCTAGGCATGCAGGCAGCCCTGCTACATTTAAACTACAGAGCCACAGCAGGAGTAGATCTGGGACTCTGCCCAAGCTGGGACTGCTTCAGTCCTGGCTCACACTGGGTCCAGACCACTGAGGCTCTACCTTTTAAATGTAGCAAGAGCTCACTGGACCCAGTGTCCAATGCTGCACCTTTGCCTTTTAAATGAAGTCAGAGAGCTGAGCAGTTCTTATTACATTTAAAAGGCAGAGCCACTGTGCCTCTGCCTTCTCTCCCCCACCCCTGGCACCACGAAGATCAGCTCCTGTCTCTCCACCCCCCCCCTCCTGTTGTCTCTAATATAGAGCTAGCAAGAGGGAGGTGGGGAAATGTGAGTAGTTGACTCGATTACCTCATAAGCCTAGGCTTATCAGACAGTTGACTATTCAAGTCCTCTTTTACATTCCCTAGTCTGGTAACCCTCTACTACAAGGACTCAGCTAAGATGTGACAAGAACTTCCCAGTTTTTAAACTCTTCCATTTTGATGGACCTAATTACAGGCAGTCCCCGACTTACGTCGGATCCCTAGATACGAACGGGGTGAGGCAACTCCCGCACATGCGCAGCAGCATTCCCGGGGCTCGCTCACCTGGGTCCTAGGATCCTCCTCCTCCTCGGGCTGGCTCCGACTGGGGTCCCGCAGAGCTGCCGGGCAGAGGAAAAGTGCC